TTGGGAATTATTTTTACTAATATACTGGTTCGTTTTTTCCCTGACCGGTATATTAGTAAAAATTATTCCCAAAAAGCTATTATCTATATAATAAAAGCCTAAGCGACCATTACAGCAGAACGACCAGAAGGGCCAGTCGCTATGATGCGCACTGACCATCGGGGGCAGTTGCTCAACATAGGAGCTGCCCCCCGGTGGTCAATGCACTCCCACAGGGTGAGCACTGCTCAGCCGGAAACTGGGCTCACAGCTGGCAAGCACAGCAACGGTGGTGGGAGCCTCTCCCGCCTCCACAGCAGTGTTAAGAAGCAGCGAGCTGGGCAGTAAGGAGCGAGGGGTCCCAGACTGCAAGAGGGTGCAGGCCGGGCTGAGGGACCCGCTCCCCCCCCTCCAGTGCACTAATTTTGTGCACTGGGCCTCTAGTTTATCTATAATAATAAAAGCATAATGTGCTAATTAGACCGGACGTCCTTCCGGACAACCTCCTGGACGAAGCCAGGGCTGCATGCCAGAGGGAAGCCGGTACCAGCAGCCAGGGGAAGGAAGGCCTACTCTTGCATGAATTTCGTGCATTGTGCCTCTAGTATTGTATAAAAGTGGGTAAAATATATATAAGAACATTACCTCAACTCATTAGACAAATGGTAAAAAATATCAGCAGGCAATTAACAAAAGAAAAAAAGTAGCAAACAAGCAGTAGTAACAGACCCCCTATTTTATTGGTCTTCAAAGACACAAAAATTAAAACAATAAAAACAGAAACTTATGAAATCTAGTTCTCAGAATTATTACAGAATAATTGAAACTCCATTTAATCTAATCACAACGCAAATTTATGCAAACCTCTAAGAAGACAATTGCACAATATGACAAAATAATAATTATCTTTTTAAACCCAATACTCCTAATTCTACGGAATTTATCCTAAGGAAATAATTGTAATGAAGAAAAAAACTACATGTATAAAGATACTTGTCACTGTTATTTATATTATTACTAGAGACCCGGTGCACAAAATTCATGCACGGGGGACGATCCCTGAGCCCGGCCTGCAACCTCTCACAATCCAGGACCCTTCAGGGGATATCCAACTGCCAGTTTAGGCCTGATCCCTCAGAGCCTAAAGCAGCAGTTGGACATCCTTCTCACAATCCGGGACTGCTGGCCCCTAACCGCTGGCCTGCCTGCCTGCCTGACCACCCCTAACCACCTCTGCCTCAGCCCCTGCCGCCTCAGCTTCATCCAAAAGGACGTCCAGAATGATGTCCAGAAGGTCATTCAGCTGTCCGGTCTAATTAGCATATTATACTTTTATTATTATAGGTTTCACTGTTATTTATCATAGTGATAGACTATATATCACACATACTAATGTAAGGGTAATGTTTCAGTAGATTTGTTGTTCTACTTTTCTATGCATTCATTGGTTGATTGTTATATGTGCCCTGACCTGGGATTGAACCCATACCCTTGGTGTAGTGGGATAACACTCTAACCAACTGAGCTACCCAACCAGAGTCAGTTTATTTCTTAATATAAAACTTAATAAAAAGAAAAACACAAACTGCCCATAGTAATAAATATAACTCTATCCCCCAGATCCAATTGGGACCGCAGCATCAGAAACCCTTTGCTAAAATGGGTTGCAAAGTGATTTAGGAATTTTAAGCAAGATAATACCAGTCAGAGTTAATCAGCCCTTCTTTTACTTCCTTTTCCCTAGCCACCTCCCATTCAAGTCATCCGATTCTTTACTTATTCCATTCTAGGATTCTTCTTTACCTCTCTGTCTACGCCACCTTTGAATGTAGAAACCATCCTACTCATTTTTGTAACCACCTACCCCTTCCCAGCTGCTAACAAATTCAATGAAATCATGAGTATTTAATTTACTTAACAGTGTACAAATACATTTGAGGGGAATGCATAGCAAGGACAATGATTTTGCTAAGCTGGTAGAACTGAGACAGTATTTTAAAAAAAATTTTAATTTTACAACATTTTTAAATTATTTTTATTTTTGTATAGGTAGTACCAGTTGCCTGGAGAGGATTTCATGATGGTATCTGAAATCAGGCTTTGAACATTTATGACTCATATGAGTAAGCAAGCTTATCTGGAAAAATAAATTTATAAACTTGAAAGACAAGCCAAGACATTTTTGGGAAGAGTAAGGAAGGAGGCCTTATTCTATAGATATTATAACTTCTTTTAATATCTTCTATGGTAATCGTGTGACTAAGAAGCCAACAATCCAGACACCTATCTGAGTGCGAATGTGTTGTTTTATTGTCACTGGAACATCTGCCTATAAGAGCTAGTACATCAAGTATTCACTAGTGCTGGGCAGGCACACAGTTTTCATTGTGAGCCGTGATGAGTCTGCAAGGACACAAATTGGCAGAATAGCACAGAACCTACCTTGGACATGACTCAAGTTCATAGTGAAGCATCATTTATTTCCTTTTTCCTCTTGTCAGTAATTCTCCAAAATGCTCCAGTTTTATGATATGACTTTTAAAGGAATTAAACTTGAATAGCACAAAATTGTATAATTATGTTACAATTCAGTTGCAATTATTAATGGATCCAAGTCTGCCACAGCATTATGAGGTAATAATGATGATGATAATAATAATGATAGCTAACATTCACAGTCTGTTTACCATGAGCCAGATATGGTGCTAAACAATTGGCAAGATGATTCAGCCCACCAGCCTGCTAGTTCATGTGTGCTAGTTATTTAGCATTGAAAAAAATTCTAAGAATTTCAGGTGAGCCACAGTCTGGAGGCAGATGAGTCACACTGAGCTCCTTGAATACATATTGGATGCACAGGCCCGAGAGCAGGGCCCACATCCCCAATGGCAACAAGGGCAGGAGCTGATTTTCTAAGGTCCCCTGTAGACAGGGGGAGCACTTCCGTATTCATCACAGTCCCCACAGCTCCCTGCTAGGCTTACACCCAGACTCTCCATTTCGATAACTTGCCCGCCTCCTAGACAATATGACTGCAAGCCAGCCATCTGCCACTAATTGTACAATGCCAACAACCAAACAAAAACTAAAGGGGACTTTGGCAATCATATAGCCTGATAGTTTTTCCAATCTTTTTATAGCATTGAAGTATTTCTTCTAATAAAATCTTACACAAAGGCCTGATCTCTAAAGACAAAAGAGGAACTGTTCTGGCTGAGGGTGGGGAAACCCCAAGAAGTACACAACCTACTTGGATCCTTCTACTCCCCATCCTTCTGCCTTTCACCCCCTGCGGGATCCCTTGACAATCTAAGGGTAGTGGCAACAGTCCCGTCTCCTCATTACAAAGCGGAGGCCACACACAAGTGAAGTCATCTGTCCTCAGTGACACAGCCAGGTAGTGGTGAGAACCAGGTCTCTGAAAGATGAGTCAGTGATGACAGTTTCTTCCATTAAAGTTGGTGGGTTTGTGGAAATGAGAGAGAGAGAGAGAGAGAGAGAGAGAGAGAGAGAGAGAGAGAGAGAGAGAGAGAGAAAGGAAGGGAGGGAGGAAGGGAGGGAGGGAGGGAGGAAAAGAATCTTTTTTCAAGCCCTCCTGTTACTCCATGTCACATACCAGCAATTGCCTTTATTAAAAAGGTTCTAAATAGTCAAGCATAGAATTATGAAAGCACATGGTGTTAGAGCTGAAAGGGACATTGAAAGTCTTTTTTTTTTTCTTCCTACCCCTTCATTTTACAGACCAGGAAAGTAAAGACATGCTTGAAACCAATCCCCCCTCTTAAGTGTTTTAAATTACCATCCCCTCCAATATGTCAAGTACTGTTACATCTTGACTTGATGGTCAGAAGCCAGAACTTCCTGTTTAAACCAGTTTCTTTATGAAAATCATGAAATTAAGATATAAATAAAAGTTGTGATTTCTTTCTCTCTGTGATTTTCCTTAAATCTTTGAAAGACACCCTCCCAATTGGGCATTCAAACATCTCCTTACTCCAGAAAGTGCACTTACAAACTTATGAGAAGATTGTTTCAGACTGAACTTTTCCAAGAGAATGCATGTCAAACTATCTGTGGTCAAAGAGTTTTTATTTTAAAATTTTCAATTCATTGCAGTGTAGACCAATAATTTATATAATGCAATGAAATCCATTAATAGACAAATGAAATTTTAAAGAGACTCACAAAATAGAAACTCATTTCTCATGTTTTATTATTAGATTCTAAAAAAAAAAAAAAATTACAACCAAATTGCTCCAACGGTTTCTAAATGCCTTCTTTCTATTCCTGTACTCACCCCATCATGAATCAGTAACAAACATTTGTGAACCAAACTTGGAGCTACATTGAGTAGCTCCAGGGTAAAGCACTGTTGAGATGGTTGGATATAGATTATGTCAGTAAGACAGCTCATGTGAACCAGGTGATGTTCCCCCCCCCCCCCTTCCCAGCCCCAGTCTGCTACTTTGGGACTATAGCTGTGGTTCTCAAAGGTCTGGGACAGGGTCCCTTCACAGCTCAGAAGAAAGAGAACTACTCAACCTCCTGACTGCACCACCTCAAAACAAGCTGGGCTGGGTTCAGATCACAGAGGGATTGCAAAATAGACAAAAGGAATTTGGACACTCCATCCTGAAAGTAAAGGGAAGTTGTTAAAGCCCTTGAGTCATATTAGGGTATGGAAAGGATAGGATGTCTGCAGTATGGAACAGGGCTTAGAGCAGTGGTTCTCAACCTTCTGGCCCTTTAAATACAGTTCCTCATGTTGTGACCTGACCATAAAATTATTTTCGTTGCTACTTCATAACTGTAATGTTGCTACTGTTATGAGTCGTAATGTAAATATCTGATATGCAGGATGGTCATAAGCGACCCCTGTGAAAGGGTCATTCGACCGCCAAAGGGGTCGCGACCCACAGGTTGAGAACCACTACAATAGGAGGTTTCTGTAATAGTGTTGGAAAGAGATAATATGGCCTGAACTCAGGTAGTAGCCATAAGGTATCAAGAGCAATTTAAGGATACTTACCTGGTAGGGGAGATGCCAAAGCAGTTGCCTTGCTTTCCCAGGACAAGGCTTATCCATTGCACTTGGGATGCGCTAACCCCTGCAATTTCCCCAAATGTGGGAAACTCGGCTGCATAATTTGTGGTAGTGGGGGACTGTGTTTGCACTCTCCCCTGTTATTAAAAAAAAAAAAAGAGGAATTTAGGGGACTTGATTATTGATTGAATGGAGGTGATGAAGCACCAGGAGAAATCAACAATGATTCCCAGGCCTTGGCTTGAATGACTAGATGTCTGGTGATACTATTCAATAAGATGGGAGACCCATAGGTAAACTCCGGAAATTGCTGCCTCGCACAACCACTTCAAAAATACAACTAAAAGACAAAACAGACATCATCCAGAACCACAAAAAGGCTGGCTGAGTGGAAATTCTACAACTAGAAGGAAAGAGAAAAGCACACTGAGACTCAGAGGAGGTGCGAAAGTAAAGTGCAGAGGTAAGGAGGCCCACGTGGAAAGGGCTGGCAACTGAGGACACGGTTGTCTTTTTCAATCCGGAGGGAGTCTCAAGCTCCCAACTCCAGTTCATACGGGAAGAAACTGGACTTTCTGGCATTGATCGGAACTCTAGAGTGGCTTTCTCTCAGAGGTGCTTGCAGCGATTACCGGGACACTGAGACCCAGAGCCTCTTAGAGTAGGACTGAGGAGCACCCATAGCTGCTTGCTCCGCCCTGTTAATCCCCTGAGACCCCGCCCCACCCAAACTGTGTGCAGAGGCTTTTGCATATGAAAGGCCTGGCCCTTTGTAATCTGAAAATTACTTAACAAACTGCAGCTGGGTCAGAGAGACCCAGAACTTCCAAAAGAAGGCCCAAGGCCCCACAGCAGCTTGCATTGCTTCACAGCTGGGCCTCATCTGGGCACCCCCAAACCCCAAACAAAGAAGAGGACTCTGCAGATCTCTCCATAGCTCCTGCTGGGTAGCCTCAGGCAGAGACTAAATTATCACCTCCTTAGAGATCCAAGAGCCAGTGTACCCAGTGGTCAGAGTGGGACCATCCAGATTACAACTCCTCACATCCATAAGGGACACACTCAGGGGGCAGATTCAGTGAGCACCAAAGCCCTACTGAAGCAAGTCTTGCCCCAGAAGGGTGTCTCCAGCACAGAAGTTCTCCCACTGCAGACACAGCATATTCTCACAGCCAATTGGCCTGGAAGTCAATTCCTCCCAGTGATACCTACAACAATCAAGGCTTAACTACAAGACTGTGCACAAAGCCCACAAAGAGGTGCACCAAGAGTGTCCACCTCAGGTAATTGGGGAGGCTGAGCCACTGGGCCCTATAGGACACCTAGCACAGAAAGCCACTCTATCAACACAGGGAAGCATAAAAAATGCGGAGACAAAGAAACAGGACACAAATGACAGAAATGGAGGAAAGCAAACAACTGGATATAGAGTTCAAAACCACACTTTTAAGGTTTTTCAAGAACTTTCTAGAAACCACCGATAAATTTAGTAAGACCCTCAAAAAGACTGGTGAGACCGCCGATAAATGTAGTGAGACCTTCAAGAAATCTAGTGAGACCCTCAAGGTTATGGAAAAGGACCAACTAGAAATTAAGCATACACTGACTGAAATAAAGAATATTATGCAGAGTTCCAACAGCAGACTAGAGGATCGCAAGAATCAAGTCAAAGATTTGAAATACGAAGAAGCAAAAAACACCCAACGAGAAAACAAAAAGAAAAAAGAATCCAAAAATATGAAGATAGTGTAAGGAGCCTCTGGGGCAATTTCAAGCGTACCAACATCCAAATTATGGGGGTGCCAGAAGAAGAGAGAGAGCAAGATATTGAAAACCTATTTGAAGAAATCATGACAGAAAACTTCCCCTACCTGGTGAAAGAAAAAGACTTACAAGTACAGGAAGTGCAAAGAACCCCAAACAAAAGGAATCCAAACAGGACCACACCAAGACACATCATAATTAAAATGCCAAGAGCAAAAGACAAAGAGAGAATCTTAAAAGCAGCAAGAGAAAAACAGTCAGTTACCTACAAGGGAGTACCCATATGACTGTCAGCTGATTTCTCAACAGAAACTTTGCAGGCCAGAAGGGAGTGGCAAGAAATATTCAAAGTGATGAATACCAAGAACCTACAACCAAGATCACTTTATCCAGCAAAGCTATCATTCAGAATTGAAGGTCAGATAAAGAGCTTCACAGATAAGAAAAAGCTAAAGGAGTTCATCACCACCAAACCAGTATTATATGAAATGCTGAAAGGTATCCTTTAAGAAGAGGAAGAAGAAGAAAAGGTAAAGATACAAATTATGAACAACAAATGCACACCTATCAACAAGTGAATCTAAAAATCAAGTGAATAAATAATCTGATGAACAGAATAAACTGGTGATTATAATAGAATCAGGGGCATAGAAAGGGAGTGGACTGACTATTCTCAGTGGGGAAAGGGGTGTGGGATGTTCGGGAAGAAACTGAACAAAAATCGTGCACCTATGGATGAGGACAGTGGAGGGGGGGTAAGGGCAGAGTGGGGGGTGGGAACCGGGTGGAGGGGAGATATGGGGGGGAAAAAAGGAAGAACTATAATAATCTGAACAATAAAGATTTAATTTATTTTTTAAAAAAAGATGGGAGCCCAGAAGGAGAAGGATGCTGAAAACAATGAATTCCATTTCTGGCAGGCTGTGTTTGACCTTTCCTGACCCTGTGCTATGGCTCATGGTGGGCTCTAAACTAGAATTCCCTACCTTTATATTCACTCATTAAATCCCAACCATAAAAAGGCTTTGCAATCATAAAAGAGCTTTTTAAGAACATTAAAGTAACATGGGAAAATATTTATTAAGTAATGTTAGGTAAAGTAATAAAAAATGCAAATTAAAACAAGGTAAAGTTCTTCCCCTGTTAAATTGGCAAAAAGAAATTTTTTTTGTTTAATTAAAATGCCCCAACTGCCAAGGATGTGGAAAAACTGGCATTCACACACGTTGCTGGTGGTAATGTAAATTGGTATAAACCTTTTGGAAGAAATTTGGCATAAGGCATCAAAAGCCATAAAAGAGTTTGTATCCTGTGACCTTGTAATTCCACTTCTGGAAATCTATTCTAAGGAAATAACTCAAAATGTAAGAGAAAGCACTTTATACACAAAGATGTTTATTATAGCAGAAACTGGAAACAACCAAAACGTCCCCTAATGGATTGGTTTAATAAGCTATAATAAATTTATTTGCTCTCCTCTTGTGCATAATGAAACTATTCAATAATAAATAGTAAGGTTTGGACTATATCTGCTATTGTTGTAATATGTATTTAACTTCCACAGAAAAAAAAGACTAGAAGGAAATGATCATAATGATCGGGTTAGGGTTGTGAATCTAGAGATAGTCTCTAAAATTTTTAAAAATAAAATGTCCCAAAGTCATTGTAAATGTTCAAAATGCTTTAATAGAAATCATCATATATAGGAAGAAAACTGGTAAGTGAAAAAAGTAAAATAGAAAATTCAATCTGTGTTAGTTACCAAAGAATATATATGTTTTTTGACGGACCAAGAATGGGAAAGAGCATAGGTAAAAGCAAACAGTTGACTTGAGTGAAGGATTTTAAAAATTCTTTATTTTAGACTGGTGCAGCCACTGTGGAGAACAGTATGGAGCTACCTCAGAAGACTAAAAATGGAACTCCCATTTGACCCAGTGATCCCACTACTAGGAATATATCCCAAGAAACCAGAAACGCCAATCAGAAAGGATATATGCACCCCTATGTTCATAGCAGCACAATTCACCATAGCTAAGATTTGGAAACAGCCTAGGTGCCCATCAGCAGATGAGTGGATTAGAAAACTGTGGTACATATACACAATGGAATACTATGCTGCGGTAAAAAAAAAGGAACTCTTGCCTTTTGCAACAGCATGGATGGAACTGGAGAGCATTATGCTAAGTGAAATAAGCCAGTCAGAGAAAGATAAATACCACATGATCTCACTCATTTGTGGATTATAGAGAACAACATAGACTGATGAAAAGGGACAGACTCAAAGACTGAGAAACAGCAATCAGGCTATCAATCCCCAGAAGGAAAGTAGGGGAGGGCGGGGGTAAGGGGAAGAGATCAACCGAAGGACTTGTATACATGTATATAGGCCATACCAATGGACATGGACAACAGGGGGATGGGAGCATGAGTGTGTGTGGGGGGGAGGTTGGGGGTTAATGGGGGGGATGAGGACACATTTGTAATACCTTAACTAATAATAATAAAAAATATATATATATAAAAAAAAAAATTCTTTATTTTAGTTATAACATTATATGTGACCTTATATTCATTTGAAGCAATCTACCCAATCTTATAAACCATCTCTAAAACCTCCTTTCTTAAGGCTTTCCTCATCCTCTGATCAAACATTATTGCTACTTTTTTTTTTAACCACCATGGCATTTGCTGTTAATTCTTATATAATTGTGGCCTGTAGTTCTCATTGGCCTGCATCAGAAAACCTGGTGCTCATTGCTGGGCCTCACCCCCAGAGTTTCTGATTCTGGAGACCTGGGGTGGAGTCTAAGAATTTGCATTTCTGACAGTTTCCCTGGGATGCACATACTGGGAGTCTGGGGACCACACTTTGAAAACCTTGGTAGGAGTATATGCAGATTCAATAGGATACCCATTCCCAGGAGCAACGTCTATTCTGTTCCTCCCTCAACCCCTCCCTTCCAAAGGCTGATTAATCCAAGATTATAGACAAGTAACCCAACCTGTGCCATTCAGAATATATCCCATCCCTGGGCACATAATTGGTCCAAAGTGAAGGCCATCTGTACATGCCAGACCAATCAGAGCCCTTCCCTAGGATTTTTCAAATACAGAACCATTCAGATGTATGTATGTAGCCCTCCTGCAGTGGACTATAGCCAGCATTAGAGAGAAGCCCAGAGTCCTGACGCTGTTTGTTTGAACTTGTACAAATTTGGATGCTTTTTGGTGAAAGTAGTAGATGGTGAACTCAAACCATGAACAAAATGAAAAGAGAACTGTAAAAACCTGTCTCACATAAGATGAGGTAAGATGGGCCCTATGTCTTGCTCTTATAGCTGCAATGTCACCAAAGATCTGGGTTTTCCCCATC